ATGATAGAGTAATTTGCCCTATAATATAATATCCAAAAAGCTTCTTTGCTTTTGTTTCACAGATGCCCAACAATGATAACAATTTAGCATATAGTTTTTATAAGAGCAAACAATTTTGAGTCAGAGAAAGTAGATATGATGTCAATAACAACAAACGGGGCAGTGTTTAGAAAGTTTACATTCTACAAACACATTGAATTGTTAGATCTTTAGATGACATCGATAAAAATATTCAAAAACAAAAACACAATTACATGTACATAGTTATTGCACTAGATACAATGGTGACATCTACGACAAGCTCAGAGAGTTGGTGAGTAGGGAATGTCCCAAATGAGAGATCTTATGTTCGAAATTTGTTTGTCATGTTTTACACCATCGTGATTGGCACCACACTAACCTTTCGGTGGGAGAACCATGCATTAATACTAATTAGCAAACCAACTTAACCAAAATACTAAAGCATTTAAGTTACGGAAGCAAGTTAAATGCTAAGGAAAGAAAATAGGGAGTTCCCATAAACTCCAAACAAAAGTCTAACAACTAAAACAAATGCTGAAATAAACACCTAGAACCTGAAAAGTCAATGTACCAAAACATCTAAAGTTCAACAAGTCTAAACAAGAAGGGGTACAACCCCAAACTAACATAGGAATAACTAACTAGAAAGTCTAAGTCAGAAAATATGGACTTAAACGAAAGAGAACTCATGGCAGCCCGGAAAAATTGGCTCACCCTTGAATTCGAACGATCACTGATCTTCTAAGCGAGGTCTGTCAATAGCCGCCTGAAGATGCCCTGTACTCAACAAAGAAAGAGCAAGTGCAGTATCAGTACACAACCACAATGTACTAGTAGGATCACACGACTATTCCACTAAGTGCAACATACATAAGTCAATACAACATAATAACAACATGCATACACCGAACATATACAATATCAATATCATTTACGAACAACGATCAAGTTCACAATTCTCAATTACACAGTTATGTCAAGTCAATGGTTCTCTCATGGAATCCAAACCCAAACTGTTAGCATACCGGAACGTGGTACCTGATCTAATGATTATGCCACAACGTGGCAACCAATCCCATAATTATGCTGGAACGTGGCAACCGATCAAAATTAGTCGGAACGCAACACCCGATCCATTCAACAAACCACAATCACAATCACAAAGTACATTCTCATAATCATACAATCAAGTCATGATTCATGGCATTCATCATTCATATATCCTCATTTACAATTAATATGATCAATAATGCAACATTCGCATACATACATGTATCATAATGAAGCAAGAACAAACATATATCACACAATCATAGAATCACAACCATCACCTACCTCGGAACAAGCTTGAAACCCCTAAGAAACTTGATTCTTCCCTTTTCAGATTCGTTTCGCTTGTTCTTGGTCTACAAACAATCATAATAACATGTAAATCAATAAACAATCACTAATTACCTGAATTACTAACCATTCTATCAACCCTGGATCATACCCATGATTCCAATCTCCAAATTAGGGTTTTTCCTCCATTATTCCTAGATCAAAACTCTCCCCCATCGATAATTATCCATAAGATTATGTTCTACGGATCGAAAAATGGATTCGGGGAGTGAAAATCTTACCTTTAGCCTCAAGAATGGTGAAAAACTGTCAAGAAAAGCCCTGGGTTCGTTCCTTAGCTCTCAAGTTCGAAAATTGCAGAATAAAGACGTTTAAGGGTTTATTTTCGACTTAAATCACGACTGTCCCCTTATGGCGGCCCCCAGCCCACCACAGCGGCCCCGCCCTGGCGGCAGAAATCCCGCCTCATCGGCTTGCATGGGACCAGTGAGTTGATTTAAGAAATCCAAACTCCCATTTCACAACACACCTTCATCCCATGCCACTCAGAAAATACCCGTTCACGCTAAGATCAATTTCGGGAGTTCTACTCGCCCGAATTCAATTCTGTAAAGTCGTATGGGTTCCTTAACGTCTTAGCTATCTACTCATGTGATCAAAATCATAATTAGATCACCCAATTACTACCAGATTTCCCTAGACTTTAGTGGCTCCGATTTCGTCCAAATCTTGACTAGGTTGGGAAATTCCAAGTTACTACGAAAAAGCTTTCCATCCCAAAAAAATTTCCCTATTGACTTTTCTATAACGACGGAACCCGATCGTTACATTGTTGCATGCTTTCTTTCTTTGCCTCGGACTTAGTGTGAATATTCCTTGTCATCATAAAAATTACAATGTTAAAATTCCTAAGAGATGAATAAATACATACCTTTTTCAGAGTGCTACCAAATTTTGATAAAAGTGGTACGTAAATAAACTAAACAATGAATAAATGTCGACCATTCTATGTTGTTATAAAAAATATTATATTTTCGTAGAATTAAAAGTAGATAAATACAAGATAATATAAAAAAACGTGAATATAGGTTAAACATACTATAATTACTCAAGCTCAAATGCTCAAGATTTTGATATTGTTAGAAGAGCAGGGCTCATATGTTAGAGCTCTCTTCACACCAATAGAATTGTAAGCTTCCTTCTTTGTCTTAACTTGGAACTCCTTTTTATATCTAGATCTTTTCAACTTCCAAAACTGAAAAATTAACCCAATATCAATTCGATCACCTATCCCCATAAATCATAAATAATATGCAGAATATACGAGAAGGGGAGGAATAAGAAAAACAATGTTATCTATCCCCACAAATCATAAATGATATAATATACAAGAAGGGAAGAAATATGGAAAACACGCAAAACTCAAAATGATTATGAAGGTGGTTAGATATCTAGGTTACATGATCTAATAGATAAGACAATGCTAAATCGATTTAAAAATTATAATTTTAAACGATGCAATACACACATATTTTACTGATTGTTGTAATTAGGGATGTTTACGAATTTGGTAAAAGTACATCGAAAAAATAAACCAAATCAAACCGATTAAATGTTCTTATGATGATTTGTAGTTGTTTGAATGATTTTGACTGACACCTGGGGGTTGTATGGGTAGGGGTAACTTTTTCTATAAGCTGAAAAAAGTACTTTATTTAATAACTACAGAACTTGTTGTTTGGTCATCAGAGTCAGGATTAAGAATTTCGGGGTTCTAAATTTCGTTAATAATCGTCAATCAATTTTGTTAGAAGTTCACAAAACATATATATTTAATTAATTTTCTTGTACAAGTATAGGTTGTACGAAAAAGCTACTGAATTCGTCTCAACCCATGAACTCCACCTAGCTCCGCCTCTGACGTTGGTCATGTATATTTAATATATGCTAGACTTATGAATTTAAATTTCAAAGTACATAAATATCGCTAATGATGTTTGTTTCATTAATTAATGAAGTAGAACAATCTAATCTGTTTTGGATTTCTAATTATGACTATATTATTGTAATTAAGTACACAGATGGATCCTACTAAAATAAGCATCTTAAACTTCACTTAGATATTAGAAAATAATTTCTCCATTCCATATTAGTTGTTCCAAATTGCTAATCAATTTACAAAATCAAGATATAATTAATTAATTTTTTTATTTTACAATTATAGTTAATTCTTTTTTTTGAAAGTGTAAACAAGTTTATAGAATATAAAAGAAGTTTCTTAAGAGGTAAATTATGCTTTTTATTTAAAATTTCTTAAGGGGTGTAAAAGGAAAAGTTGACAACTAATTTGGGATATCTGATATTTGTTATATTTTTTATACAATTGATATTTTAAGAATTTATGATGTGAAAATTGCAAGGTAGAGAAGCGTTGATTTGCCGGAACTTGACATTCTTGCCTAGTAATAGTATCTGAAATTAATTGTATTTTGAACAATTACAATTTCGTGTTCTAATATCTTCGACAAGGAAATAGAGAAGTATTTGCACGCAAATAAATAGAGTTGGATGATGGAAATCAAGACAAATATTTAATTAAAAAAATAGAATAATACTCTAACTATAAAATAATTTTAGACACACACCCTATCTAACATAAATAATAATAAAATAAAACAAAACAACAAACTTAGACTTTTAGACACCCTTCTACAAGAAAAACATGTATAAAATAATTTTTTTTAAAATACTTCAAATAAAAAAAAATTTAGACACCTGTCATACAAAGCAGATCCACATATTTTTTTCTCTAATTAAAGCCTCAAGTTCAAGTCCAAATCAGTTTGTTCTTCGACTATGTTAACTAACTCATCTGATGAAATAGGAACATCCAATCGATTGATCAATGGTGTGGTACAATCAACAATAGCCTCATTTGAACTTTCAACTATGTTCCCTCTTTCCATTTGTTGTCTATCCATTATTGATGTTATACCCCTTCTAATCGATACAAACATGTTTCTTTGTGCTATTTGTTGTCTATCGATTGGTATTGCTCTGCCCCTACTGATTGAGTGGTTAAGATTTGAAGATGGTGTTGGCAGGATGACAATATTATCGTTTCTTCTTGGTCTAACATTTCGTGGGGCCGCGGGTTGAGTTGACAGAGGATATCCTCGTAAAAAAGTACTAGATGCATATATAGATTTGTATATGATTTATGAATTCGGAATGAGTATGAAACATTCCATAGCATAGGGGGCAAGAAAGTAGGATAGGAGAAGGTCTTAAAAATGGAGAAAAGTTAGCGTTATGCATATTTGACATATGAATAACAATATTTTCTTCTAAAGTAAGAAATGGTAGAGAGAAGTATCAACTATGCAATATAATTCAATGAAATGTAAGAAATATTATCTATAGTGTTAGTATATCATTTTGCAGATAATATATTGTAGTTTCATCGCCCTCTATGACTTTGAAATTAGAGTAATTTAGAGCAGTTGTATCACATCACACAGTCCATATATTATGCAATCTTTGCATGTTTTGATGTTCATTTGAAATCACCTGATTCATTGTTCTCAATGCGGGAAACTGGATCATTCAATGTCTGCTTTGTCGTCATAATATTCTATCTCAAGATATATGAAGTACTGGCATGTTGGATCGATGTGGCTCTACATTTGCTAAAACAATTCTCATTTTCTGAGAACAAATCTGAAATCAATGATTGTTAGGTAATGTTATTCTTTCTTTATTTTGTGGATCAACAACTTCAATCTTATTAGAATGTAATAACTTTATTAGAGTTTTTTCTTTTAAAAGCCATACATGTGACAGTGTGTGCTTATATTTGATAATTTACTAGGTTTTTCATTTGTTCATTTTTCTGACATTTGTAAACTGACTTGATCTTCTCTTTTTGCAGATTTTACTTGAAGCATTTGTCTCATAAGAATGAGTTGGATTGAGCTCATGGCGTATGACCAAATGAAGAGTGAAGTTAGTTTATCGATGGTATAAATATTGCAAACTTGAACTTTCCAAACTATGGATAAGATAAGGTGTAATAGGCAACTCAATTGCAATTATCTTGGACTTCTTTTTACGTAAAGAACTTCTATGTTTCATTCAATTATGTAAGCAAGCACAAAAATGTCTTGCCAATGTTAACTTCAGCGGCTAGACAAGAAGGTCGGTATTATGTTTAGTTTGCTTGCTGTTGTATTGTTACAGTGACAAAAAAGAAATCGAAACCATGCATGTTGGGCCCGTGCTCAGCATGGGCTATGACCCTCTAGTACAATGATACACGTGCAAGAAAAATAGTTACTTAAAACAAAAATACAACTAAGAATATTTACTTTTCGAGAGAAAAAGTATACACCGTTAAAATAACGTATTTATATATCATTTGAACTAAATCTCACTAAATCAAGTATACAAAATGTCACATTTGCGAGACGTGTTACTATTAATTACTTTAAACATAAGAAGATGAGAATAGTGTTTATTTTTTAATAGATAACATGTACATAAAGCAACATCTCTAAAGTGAATTTAAGGGTTTAGGAATAAGTAAACAACTTAACTCAGCTAGGGTTCTATTACCCCTCCCCCCCCCCCCCCCCCCATATAACACGCATGTAAATATTTTATTATTTTAAAAAAAATTAATAATCTTCTTATATTAACTATCTTGTGTTCAAACTAAGTTAATACATGTAACTTTTTTTTAAAATAATGTCTCGTAGCTAAACACTTTTATATCATTTTTTACCTTCATTGATCGTTTTTTCTCTTTATTTCTATTGATTATATTTATTCTTTTTATTTTCTTACCTTTTCTTTTGATTTGATTTCAAATTTATATTCAAAGTCTTGTATTTAAAATAGTTAATTTTATCTGGATATCAAAATAAGTGTAACGATCCGAAACATCGTTATTTATGAAAGAAAAAAACGTTGGGAGAATTGGACCCCACCATCCCGCCAGGGAGGCGGCGCTCCAGCGGGCCAGGGAGCGCCAGGGCGGGATTTTTGGGGGAAGAACTTAAATGACACGAAACCTTATTTTCTCCTTTTACCCAAAACACCAAAAAGAGGCGAGGATCAGCCCAGAAACCCTCAAAAGGCTGGTCTAGGCTAAGGAAGGAAAGAGAAAGAGATTTCTAGCGTAAGGATGTCGGTAGCATGTGGATTTCCGATCAAATCCACTGTCACGAGATTCAAAAACCAAGATTGGAGCCTTAATCCTGTTCAGCTGTTTGACACCTAGGTAGGCTAGGTTTATTTAATTGAGTAGACTTAAATCCATATTCACTATGTGGTATGTTGATAATTGATAGTAGAATTCATACGTAGGCCTTCGTGCACCAAAAAATGGATGATTGTCTATATTCTATCAGTTGTTGAATAAGATGGGAATCATAGAAAGAAGCCTTGTCCTGTGGAATGGGTTTAGAGGATGTTCGATTCTGGTTTTTGTGTTGTGTATGCTGCTTATTGTTGGCTCCATGAATGGGATTAGAAAACATGACTCGAATGATAATGAAAGGACTAGGTATAATTAATTACATGCCATAAACTTATTACTTGATTGTATAATAATGAGTATTGTTCCTTATGGATGTGATTGTGACTGTGACTGTGGTTCTGTTGACTTGGATCGGGTGTCACATTCTGACACATACGTTGGATCGGATGTCACGTTCCAACACATAAATTGGATCGGGTGTCAGTTTTCGATACACTAATTGGGATCGGGTGCCACGTTTTGATACACTAACAGTCTGAGTATGGGTTCCATGAGAACCATTGAATTGTCATATCTAATTGTTATTGAGAATGTGGAATTGTACATTGCTCTGAAATGATGCCTGAACCGTATTTCTGTATAACTATTTTAATGTGTTGTGCTTATTTGTGATATATCTCGTTATTGAATGAACTGTGAATGGTCAGACTCAAATCGGAATAAGATAGGGTAACTGGAGACCAAGGGTTTCCAAGTGTTATTGTGTATTACTTTAGAGGGGTTGTCTACGCTCTTAAAAGTGGAGAAGTGGAGAGGTGGTTGTGTCGCAAATGTTAGGTAGTTGGGCCATACCTGGGAAGGGGATTCATATTGAAAGGTTAGCGACCCTTGATAGCATGTACTATGAGGTGAAGGATTGAGTGGTGATGGAGAAGGAAAAAGGGTTTGTTGTGAGCGTGGTTGGCCGGGTTGGTAGTGGTTACATCCGGAACCTCTCAAAGAGGTAGAATGGTTAAGTTATGATCAAAAGTGGAGCGAGTAAGGGGTTAGAGTCAAGAGTGACAGTATGTTTTAAAGCATTCGAAAATGGTAAGGGCATAAGGATATGAAGGTAGAGGAATGAACAGTCGTATTGCATGTTTCCTACTAGTTGACTTTTCTTATATTATGCGGTGGGTATCGAGTTGATCGATGATGCCTACCAGTACGTGTGGTTTGTACTGATACTTCTTTTGTTATGCCTTTTTAGGATAGTTGGTTGTAGGGTCAGTGATGTTTCATAGGTGAAAACGAAGACAATCTCCAACAACTTTTATTTTTCCGTCTGTATGGTGGAAGTTGCGTCATGTATTAATTATGTATACCTTGTAATCTTAGTAGCTATTGTACCTGTTTTGACTAGATCCGTGGGAAAGTTTACTTTACAAGTTAACTTTGAATCATATGAAAAACACTTTATTTATAAAATTTCATGAAGTTCCTTTTATCTACAGTTTTCTTAAATTTCCGCATTTTAAAAATGTTTGGTAATCGAGGGATCTCCTATTTAGGTGTTAGAGTAGGTACCCGCACGTCCTGGTGGGTTGGGTCGTGACAATACGTGAAAAAAAAATCAAACAAAACATTTAAAAAATTGACATGGACCCTTCAACCACCCAAGTTTGTTGTGCTTGTACACACTCGCCTGCCACGTGTGTAAATATTATTTTATTTTTAAAAAAAATACTTTTTTTTTAAAAAATATTCTTATTTTCTTTATCTTGTATTTAAATTAAGTTAATACACATTTTTTTACCTTGTATCGAAACTTTTTTTAAAGCCTTCATTCATTGTTTTTTCTCCTTTATTTTTCTATTGATTTTATTTTCTTTGTCATTCGTTTTGATTCGATTTGAAATTTAATTACAAATGTCTTGTCTATAAAAGAAATTAATTTTGATCGGATGTCAAAATAAGTGAAGAAACTCAAATAAAACATTAGAAAATTAAACGTTAAAATTAAAGGACACTTTTGATTATTTTTTTAAAAAAAATACACATACTTTTTTTAAAAATATTTAAAAGTGAAAAGATAATAAATTAAATTTAAAAAAAAAGTTTAAAGTAAAAATAAATTAAAATAAATATTTTATTAAGAAAGAATAAAAATAATTAAATATATATAAGTTTTGATATCAATAAATATTGTGTACTAACTAATTATAGAGTTATCTTTAAAAAAATGGCATGTGTTCAATTTGTGCAACTATCACCTGTTTTCAAGAGAGTATGCACACTCTCTAAGCCATGTCAGCGTTTGTTGTATATTTATTTCATTTTAAATTAGTTTATGGGTAATAGGACCCTAGTTAAGTTTAGGTGTCTAGGATTTCTGTCATAGTCTAGGGTGGTACTTGTGCTATACCCCGTTACTTTATTGAACAAATAACCATAAAATTCGATCTATAATAGATGGAAAAAAAAAAGAATAATAGACTCTAACTATAAAATAATTTTAGACACACACCCTATCTAACCAAAATAAGAATAAAATAAAATAAAACAACAGACTTAGACTCCTAGACACCATTCTATGAGACAAACATATATGAAATAAAATTTTAAAAAATACTTCAAACAAACAATTTTTTAGACACCCGTCTTACAAAGAAGATCCACAAATTTATTCTCTCTAATTAAAGCCTCAAATTCAAGTCCAAATCAATTTGTTCTTCAGCTATGTTAACTAATTTATCTACATTTGATGAAATAGGAACATCCAATTGATTGATCAATGGTGTGGTACAATCAACAATAGCCTCACTTGAACTTTCAACTATGTTCCTTCTTTCCATTTGTTGTCTATCCATTATTGGTGTTATACCCCTTCTAATCGATACAAGCATGTTTCTTCGTGCCATTTGTTGTCTATCGATTGGTATTGCTCTGCCCCTACTAATTGGGTGGTTAAGATTTGAAGATGGTGTTGGCAGGATGACAATATGATCGTTTCTTTCTGGTCTAAGACTTCGTGGAGCCGCAGGTTGAGTTGATAGAGGATTTCCTCGTAAAAAAGTACCAGATGCATATATAAATTTGTATATGATTTATGAATTCGGAATGAGTATGAAACATTCCAAAGCATATGGGGAAGCAAAGTATGTGAACTGTAAATTTGAGACTTAGCAAATGCACCAGAATAATCTCACTTTATTCATAGGTTCCAATACCTTTTTATAGGAAATACATGAAAGTTAAAGAAAAACGAAAATACAGGACATGACTCAACTAACTCCACTACTGACAGAAAAATAGGAAATAGAAATTGACTTGTTCCAACCCTGAAGAATAGGTCTTTGTTGAAGTAAACTAAAACTGAAGAAAAACTAACTCAACACTCCCTCCCTTGAACTGAACTCAATCAAGAGTTTCAATTCACAATTTTCATCCCAAATGCTTCTCTGATTCTTTGAAATGATGCCATCTTCAAAGGCTTTGTCATTATGTCTGCCAGCTGCTCCTCAGTGCTGCAATAGACCAATTTAACAACACCTTCATTTGCCAACTCTCTGAGAAAATGATATCGAACCCTTATGTGCTTTGACTTTCCGTGCATGACAGCATTTTTTGACAACTTGATAGTGGATGTGTTGTCACAAAACAGAACCATCTCTTCATCTTGTTCATGCCCGATTTCTTTCAATATTCTTTTCATCCAGATGGCTTGACAGGCACATGTAGCTGCTGCTACATACTCTGCTTCAGTAGTTGACAGAGTGACGATTGGTTGCTTCCTTGAGGACCATGCCACAGCTCCTCCACTCATTAAGAAAACATATCCTGAAGTGCTCCTACTGTCATCCACATCCCCCGCATAATCACTGTCGGTGTAGCCTAAGAGTTCACTTTTTCCTTCACGTTGATACCATATTCCAAATTCCAGAGTTCCCTTCACATACCTCATGATTCTTTTT